AAATTCTATGTAACATTAAGCATCCATCTGTTACTATTGGAATGATCTTCTTAACTAATTTCCGGAATGAGATTGGCCCCTTGAACCCTATGTGGTTTACTTTTCAGGTGCCAAGACACACTAATTGGTGGCACATTTGTTAGAGGAGTTTCTGGTGGTGAAAGAAAAAGAGTGTGCATTGGCAATGAAATCCTGCTCAACCCATCACTTCTGTTTCTAGATGAACCAACATCTGGTCTTGATTCGACAGCGGCACTTCGAACACTTCAGATGCTTCACATTATTGCAAAGGTACTGGAATTTGAATTGTTTGGATGAACAACATGAATTATTCATATGAAAATCATTTTAAAAAATCAAAATATTGGGTTGTGCTTCTGTATATTTTAGGCTGGAAAAACAGTGGTGACTACGATACATCAACCGTCTAGTAGGATCTTTAACAAGTTTGATAAGCTTATTCTCTTGGGTAGAGGAAGCTCCTTATACTTTGGAAAAGCCTCTGAAGCAATGACGTACTTCTCCTCAATTGGGTGTGCACCCCTTATAGCTATGAACCCAGCAGAGTTTCTCATTGATCTGGCAAACGGTAACACAAATGAAAAATCACTTCCAACAGAATTGGAGGATGGAGGGCCTTCTGCAGTTGACGTCCATGAGGTTGATACGAAAACTGAATTTTGAATCCCACTTATAAATTTATAATTGCTAGCATGGAGCACAATCTTATTTTACATTTTTATGCAGTTTTTGGTTGAAGCCAATCAAGTCAGACTTGAAAAAATGGAGAAGGCAAAGCTCCTAAGCTCTGTGCTGACAGAGGGTGAGAGTAAGATGCAGGGGATGTCATATTCAAGGGAATCAAAAACAACTTGGTGCGAACAGTTTTCGATTCTTTGCAGGAGGGGCCTTAAGGAGAGACGCCACGAATACTTAAGCTGTTTGCGTATAGTTCAAGTTATCTCCACTGCTATAATCATAGGGCTTCTATGGTGGAACTCTGATGCTTCATCCCCAAGGCGAGTTCAAGATCAGGCAGGACTGTTGTTCTTCATTTCAGTATTTTGGGCTTTCTTTCCTATGTTTACTGCAGTTTTCACATTTCCACAAGAAAGAGCAATAGTAGCTAAAGAGAGATCAGTGGAGATGTACAAACTCAGTGCCTACTTTTTAGCTAAAAACACCAGTGATCTTCCTCTCGATCTTCTGCT